TTTTTTTGGCTTATGTTAGTGTCTCTCTAACCTACTCCATAAACTGGGAGCTCCTCCGCTGTACAGACCAAGTCTTCTCCCTCCCCCCGAACTGTTGCTGATGCTTGCTTTCTGATTATCGACCATCAGGAAGTCCCACTTGAGAAGTAACCCTCTGGCTACAGTTGAATCCCATTTCCTGTTTGGTTGGATCCTGGGAATGTGTTAAGGCTTTGACCAGCTGCCACCATATTAGCGGGTACCCAAGGCCAATTTGGGGATATAAAGAAGAATATGACTTCTATTACTTACATAGTGCTTCAGAAATGCCCCAGAGTAGAAACAATTGTCCTTGCTGCACCCGGATCCACTGTAACCCTCTTCTTTTGCACCCCGCATCCTGGCCTGCCAGACGGCAGTTCTAGTAATACACAGTATATAATGAGGAATGTCACTCAAGGCCAGTCACACCAGATACTTGTGGAAGGGCAGCGGCCAGGCAGGGGACACAGAGGCTCAGCAGAGGCAGATACCAGCCAGGTGGCCAGCTCCGTCCTCTGCTGTCTTCATAAACAGGCTAGTTTCTTGAAGGTTTTTTTCTTAAGTTCCAATGAAAAACAAGTTGGAGCCATAATTGGAGGCGGGGTGAGGGCTGCAGAGCAGAGTTTATGGGCACTGGCGTTTTCTTAACGGCTCCCTCCTCACACATTCCTCTGCATTTTCCCCTTTTATTAACGTGGCATCTTTCCCAGGACACTTTACAGGACTGTGTGTTTTCACTTACGCCCTGATTGCGGTTGATCGCGTCTCTCCCTATGAAGAGCCCTCAGATCTCGCGCAAGGCCTCCCCTGCATCCCGTGCAAGGCTGCAGGTCATTCTTTCACTCCGGGGCTCCTGGGCTTATCTCGGAACCGGTCCCCAAGGGCTCCACTGTGTTTTCCACCACACAAGGCACTCTTCTGCCTTAAGGTCGCACCTCTTTTGGACCCCAAATAAGATAAGACACACCAGGTAGCTTCCTCACTCGACTCTGAAGTGACTCCTGGCACTTGTCCCCAAATTAAATCTGCCCCCAAGGATCAAGAGGAAGATTTGCCACACTGAAGATTTTCAAAGGAATGTGCCGCGAGCCCTGAAGGCCATTGCCCAAGAGGAGCTCTGAAAATGTTGTGAGCAATAGCAGCCCTGATAGAACACAGCTTTCCGAGGGCCCGCTGTCAAAGGCATGGCATGCCTCACGGAGAGTCAAGCTTTGGCGTGTTTATTAAAAAGGACGCTTGTTGCTTTCAGGAACGCTGCGCTCTTAGGTCTTCTTTTCTCTTTAGCTCAGTTCCAAGAGGGGCTGGGACTGAGGTTTGGAGCTTACTTGCTCTCCTTTAGCCCCGTTTTGGAAATGTTTCCACCTATCTGTCTCCTGTTATCTGGGAGATTGCTCTGTTTCACTCAGACATGAAGCGGCAGGCTTGGTGGTAGTCCTGTGATCTTTGAAAACATCCCCTCTGGGAATTGCAGTTTTTTCTTCTGTAAAATGAAGAAAGTAATACACATTCTGCAAGGCTGAGAATGAAATGGAGCGATGTCTGTAAGAGGCCCGGCATGCTAAAGGCCTTCAGTAAATGGTAGGGATTTTTGTTATTAATACTATTACCAATATTAAGCAATTAGCCAACACATACTGATCTGCTTGAGAATCTGCTTTTGTTCCCTGGTCCCTCCCCTCGTTCATCCAGGCCTTCTCCCACTGCAATCCTTTCTTTCTGGAATGTCTGTGGACAACACATCAAACTCCCCACTCCTGGCTCCAGGGCAAGAATCTCGGAGTCCTTTGGGAAGTGCAGTGCTAGGATCGTTTTCCTGTTGTCAGCAGGCTCTGGAAGAGGCATTAGCCCCACAAGGCTTGATGTGGGAAGTTTTTACAGGTACCGCTCATCTGGTGGGCAGATGTAGCTTGCAGCAAGATAGAGCTCTGTCTTCCAGATGGGGGGGTGGGGTGCCTGGGAGTCTTGAGGTAGAACTGGTTCCTCCCTGCTTGGAGCCAGTATGGGCACACACATGGGCCTGTCACTTCCTTCAACAGCCCTGGGATCCTTGAGCCAAGTTAGATGGAGTGCCTTTAGCCCCTGAAACTCACATCCTGGCAACAGCTGACCATGCCTCTATCATCTCCATTCCCCGCAGCCCTGACCTCTGCCATCCCCCAACACACAGACACACACACAGTGTTATTTCCAGGGAAGAGCAGGATACTCCTGGTCAATAGCCCTGGACACATTGGAGGTTTCCCCACAAGGTAACAGTTTCATTCATTCCGACAATTCTCAAGGTGGCGAAACAGGATGCAGAGGGCTCCTCAAGGTAGGCTTACTCCACAGCATTTGAGCATCTTCCTAAAGGAAGATGATGGGAGGTAGTAGCCACCAGTGGCTAAGTTCTCCCCTAGACATCCCTTTGGATATCAGCAATCCCTAATTCTCTGCTCCAAAGCCCTAACTCTGCCTTGATAGAGTGGGGGTGTGCCTGACCCATTAGTAGCCATTGTCCAACCTTTTATTGTTCGGGCTTTTTGCGGGGACCTTTATGCGAAGATGCTCCCAACCTCATCACATCTGGTCAAAGTGCTTTTAGTCACAAGGGGCAGAACTCGGTTCACAGGAACACCTATAAAAAGTGGATATAAAGACAGTTATCAGGGATACGAGACTTCAATTAACCAACGTACCCGGCCTCGCCATTCTTGCTCCTCCTGGCCTGCGGCCTCTTGGCCCAGCCTTTCTCTTACGTGACGTCGGTTTGCCTACAGTTTCTCTCATAACAGGGCCCTCACAAGTCCTCACTGATCATGACATTTTAGTTGAGCTCTCTACGACCAATTGGCTACAGAGCCTGATTTTAAGTTTCAGACTCTTAAGAGAGAAAAACTGGGTGGCTGTTTCTTGCCAATACATTGGCTGGCCTTGGATACTTAGTGGACATAGAAACAGCTATGAAGGATATGAGACTTTAATTAAACAAAGTGCCCAGCCTCGTCCGTTTCGCACCTCCTGGGCTGCAGTCTCTTGGCCCAGCCTTTCTTTTTCGTGACTTAGGTTTGCCTACAGTTTCATAACATGGCCCTCACAAGTCCTCACTGATTATGACATTTTAGTTGAGCTCCCTATGACTAAATGGCTACAGAGTCGTAATTTCAAAGTCTTAAGAGAGAAAAACTGGATAGCTCTTTTCTTGCCAACACATTGGCTGGCCTTATTCCTGGTCGAGTTAGCCGTGGCTGAGGAGTGGAGCATGTGGTATGAAACAGATAAGGTAGCAGGGGCTGCAAGTGGGAAACAAGTTCTCCGAGAAGCAGCCCAAGCTGGCAGTCCACCCAAGGTCTGCCTAATGTGCGTTCTGTCTGGTTCTGGGGTTCATCCGAGGAACAGGTAATAGCCATCCTCAGTGACTCCTCTGTCTCAGTGGAGACTGGGCTCGGATCTCAAAGGCCAGGGAAGCAGCAGCTCCACCGATGCAGCTGCCACCTCCACAGCATGCTGGGGACATGGTGACATTTCTCCTAAGAGCACTTACGGGGACAGTGCCCTGTGAAAACAGCGCTGGACTGGGAGTCGGGAGTTATGACTTCTGATCCAGATCGGCTGTCAACCCCTTTGACCTCGAGGAGTTGACCTTCTTCCTCTAGGTCTTAGATTCTCCGGAAGTTAAAAAATAAAATTTAAAACTACCAATAATAGTAATAAACAGTGTTGTGAAATCATCTCCAGGGTTCTTTTCAATCCCTAAGATTTCCCTAAGCCTCCCTACCTCTGCTTGACAACTTCCCAGAAATGCTTCCAAACGGAGCTCTTTCACCCATGACTTGGTGGAGCCTCTGCCAGCTGCCTCTCCCCCACAACACATCCCGTCCCTGAGATGAGTCCTTCTCAGGGGCTTTCCAGCCTAAACCTGCAGCCTTTCAAGAATGTCCAGGCAGGGCCTTCCCAGGCAACTGATTTCTGAGCTTGTTAGAGGCAGAGGATGGAGTCTGAGCATTTGCTGTCTGGCCACACCAAAGAGGGAAGTCTGGGCCTAAAGATGCATCCACGGGAGGGGTGGGGAGGGGCTTCCAGATTGGTGATCAGGGCCTGGGAGGCCAAGAGAAGCTCCATAAGAAGGGTCAGCAAAAGCCCCAGAGAAACGGGGACAATGAGTGGAACAGAGCTGGAGAGGAACAGCGGAAAACACTGGGTTCCCAGGGTAGGGGGGGCAGGGGTGAGGGAAATAGTTTGTGTCTTTTGGCAAGAAATGAATAACATTCAAAGAATATGCAAAATGCCATTCTAATCGGCACCTGTTCCCTTTGGAGCCAGTCACTTGGCCCACAGCATCTGAGGGTGAGTCTGGTTTGGGTCTCCCCAGGGGAGGAAATACACACATTGAGATCCACTTGAGTGATGATAGAGGCATTGATCCTAAGTGGGGTGAAGGAAAGAAAGGTGCCCTCAGCCTCCATCGCTCCTTCCCAGTCCCAAATGCTCTCTCACAACCCCCCCACCCCAGCTCAACCCCAGGCAGATGGCCGAAAATTTTGCAGGGGCCTCTGAGCATTCCCTTGGCTAATAGCCACATTCCAGAACAGCATATGTTTCATCTCAAACACACAAGGTTTGCACTTCCAACTGGAGCCAAAGAGAGAAAACCTTGGCCCAGGCTGCAAATTTCTTAGGAGAGGTGGGGGTCAAGGGGCAGCCCCCAGGGAGGGTGTAGCTGTTATGCTGAAGAACATTTGAGTTCAAGTTTGTGCAAAGCTACCTCCCAAATCTGTGACACCCGCATTCCTAACTCATAAATCCTCAAAGTACCCACCTGGGGAAGGAGCGAGCAGCGCCGCTTCCTCTTGCTATCGCCCAAATGGCACTCATGCCACCTGCACGTTCCTCCAACCCCGTACCAGCTCTGCACCTTTGCCTGACTTCATGGCCCCTTCTGAATCAATAATTCACAGCCCATGGCTGGGTGGAGTCTGGGGTGGGGGAGGAAAGAGGGTGACTCTTGATCTCATCTGGGCCTCATCTGTGCTGGCTCCCATCTCCGCACTCAGATTTATTTGGCTGCTGAAAGACACCAAGTCTGGAGGAGGATTTAGGAAGGACAGGGCTGAGCTGGGTGGAAAAGAGGAGTAAGGCAGGGGAGAAACACGAAGGCATGAGCTGGAGGGGGCGGCGGGGCAGAGGTGCAGAAAGGGACGCAGAAGGGCCTCAGCTGGGAAGAGGGAGAGGTGCGCTGTCTCCTGGCGGGTGGGGAACTGGGGGGACGGTGGGAGTCCTGGTCCTCTGGGGGTTCTGCTCTGTGGTAAGCTAAGGGATTTCTGACAGCAAAGTAAACTGTGGTGTGCTGAGTTTACCCAGCTCCAATAAGCAGTGCTGGAGTGTTTAATGTTTCCTTCCCGCTGAATTGGTTGACAGGCACTGAACCGCAGCCAGCCCCTTGCTGTCTCTTGGGGAGGTAGTAGGTGGGGAGGTTAGTACAGGGCTGTCAGGAAAGCTGGCATTGCTGACCGCGACCCAGGATATGGAGGCTTGGGTGAACGCTGGGGAGTTTCCCTAACATAGGCCCAAAGTTCCCATCAAGGAGGAAGAGCCTGAAATACAAGTCACCTCCCTATCCCAA